CCGCCCCCCGGCCTGGGGGTAGCCATCCCGGGAGCCGGGAGGGCTCGGTGACAGCCCTGCGCGACCGGGGCCCGGGTGTGCACGGCTGGAGCGGGCGCCGGCCGGGGAAGAGCGCGCGGCTGGAGGGGCGCAGAAGCGGGGATGCGGGGGAGACTGAAACGGCCTGGAAGCATTTACAAGTGTCCAACTTGAAAAATGTTTCATAATGTAAGCCAAAGTTCCCTAAATGTTATCTCATAAATCGGATCTAGCTTCGCAGACAGAGGACCAGAAGGCAAGAATTCCTGGCTGATCACCCTCGGCCGGCACCTGGGCGCAGACCGCTCCGCGCGGGCGTTCGGTCTCGCGCACCGGCCGGGGGCCGCGGCGCTTGTGCTCGGCTGCACCGCGGGGACTCGCGGGCACACAGGGGAGGTGCGGCGGTGAGGGGATCACAGGCAAGACTCGGGGCCATGCTTCCCAGAGAACATGGGTTTGATCAGCCGGTGAGACACCGACTATTTGCCTTTACGACGCTAAATCTGTGACAACCAATCCAGTTTTCATTTGAGAACTGGCATTAGCCCTCAATTGACCTTTCCTCAAGTTCTAAAATCCCTAATTTAAAGCATGGCCACAAAGGCTTTATTTAGCTTTATAAAGCTGCCACAAATCTTTGGCCACTATGCGTAAAAAAGTTCCCTTCCCTCCTGCATGCAAAGCTGAGTTTGGGTAATCCTGCCCACTAAAGGTCAGTCTGTTTAATGCATGACAGTATGCGAAACTCCTCCCTGGCCACACTCAAAAGACTTCCTGAATATCTGACACACGCCCTCAGTGTGCACCGCAGACCAATTACTAATAACACTATTGAAACAGCATTAATTACCCAGAGCTCCATCCCAAGCATATACTTGGACCGTATCCAGCCTGCACCTCCGAGAGGAATGCAGTACAGCCCTGGCCAGTCAGAATATACATTCCACTCGCAAACCACTGCCTGGCTCAGCTTGAAGTCATAGCAAAGTGACAACAGCTGCCCTGGTCAGGCCGTGGCCCAAGAGGCAGCAGAAGAGGGGCATACTGTGAAGAAAATGCGTGATTACACACCTGCTCTCCCGCCAGGGGCAAGCTGCCATTGTGTGACCTCTGTGCACTGGGGCCCTGCGTTAGCAACCTGGAAGACTGGGTGACTAAAATACTCCATCCTGCAGAAAAAAGAGCAGCTTTTCTTGTTTTTTATTTCTTCATTCATCAAACAACAAAAAGCAGTTACTGTGTACCTGGAATAGTGCTGGGTGCCTTTGAGAGGTTTACAGTGTAGTGAGCGAGAGACCCACAAACAAATGTACTAGAACCGGAGAAAGCAACAGCAAAAAGAGGGTGGGGGCTGGACTTGCTGCCTGTCCAGCAGGCAGTGAAGGAGGGTGGTTGGGTCAGGTGGGAATGCCGGGTCCCGGGGGGATAAGAGTTCAGCCACAGGCAGCAGAGGCCAGACCACGCAGGGCCTCGGTAGCCCCACTAAGGAGTTTAAAAGTTTCTCACAGACGACAACAGGGAATGACTAAAGTGTTTTTAGCACTCTCCGGCCATATGGAGAAGTACAAGGACATTTTAGAGACCAGCTGGAGAATAGTTTTAACAGTCTAGGTTAGAGACGAGGGACTGGACTAAGGCACAGGCATTCGGAGTGGAGAGGGGCTGGATTCTAGAAATAAGAGTTGTGAGAGGGAAATCTAGAATGGCTCCCAGGTTTCTGGCTTCCACTTGGTGATATCACTCCCTGAGCCAGGAGAGATATTTGAGGTGCCTGCGCAGTGGGGTCCCAGCACCTGGAGCCATACCTGGCCTGCAGTAGACACACGTACTGAGTTAGAGTACAGATATTCAGTGGGTCCGAGCTCAGAAGACATCCTCGTGAAGATAACTGAAGCCACAGGAAGTGCAGTGAGACAAGAGCAGCTAAGGGTGCACTCCTGGGGACCCCACACGTGAGGCCAGTGGAGGCGGCACAGCCTGAGAAGCACATGAGCTCCGCAGAGCATGGCCTTGGGGTGATAAGCGTCAGCAGAGAAGACATAAGAAAGTAAAATACCCTAGTGGGCAAACAGGAGTGTAGGGACAACTGCCAAAGCTGTGCACAGTAAGGCTTGTGCTTCCAGAGCCGGGTGCTGACCTCCCCAGGGCCTCTCATGGTGAAAACGGTACTCAGCTGTTCAAAGGCTCCAGCACAGACAGATGTAAGGGACAGAGAAGTGCTTTAGGGACTTGACCTTCTAATTCCTTCCCTAACCATCCCAAAGCAGGAAGAAGACACACCTTCACTGACTTTTCCTCGTCTGCCCAGCAGGACATGAATTTCATTTTGGATTCCATATGGAATGTCCATGTGATCTCAGCCTCCCATTCCATCTCTGAAAAACACTTCTTGCCTCATCTGTATGTCACAGGGTTGTTAGCTTAACGTACTCAGAAATGTCAAAGCAGAGCAGTGTGACACTGGGTGGTTCCCACACACGCCCGCCCTGGTTCCTTACTAGCAAAATGAAGCCTGGGTTAAAAAAAATCCCTCCTGGAAGTGACATTAGTTTAGAACACAATCCTCTGCCTGGTAAGAACACACCTGGCACTTCACAGTGGAGAAGAGGCTGGCTTGGTGGAAAAAAGATGTAGAACTGCCAACCCTGGACAATTCCTCTGTGCTAGGCACGTGCTGTCATTCAGCTCTCAATACCGTGTGAGGTGGGCACGAGTCGTTCTCCTTTCCATAAAGCCTGATGCTCCGAGCCCAGCACCTCACAAGCTGGGGACCTTCCCTCTCCAGTGCAAGGTGCAAGATCTGGTATAATCCTTTTGAGGTCACCAAAGGACTAAAAACTCTCCTATAAATCCTTCAAAGGAAAACCTTAAAATTCTTATACTGTACTTCCTAGAAACAATTCTTAAACAGGAGGGCAACAAGTGAGTTCCACTACTGTGAAACTCTGGTGACGACCACTGCCTGCTACTTCAGTAAGATCCTGCAATTCAAAGAATGTACACTTTCAAACATAAGATGCAATTAGGCTCAGATTCAAGTCTGAATTTATCCAAAATACTTCCTTCTAACTCTTAATTTAGCTACAAGTTTAACCTAGAAAGCAAAACTTAAAAATAGCTTTTTGTATATGCCACTCACTGCCAGAAAACATTATCTTTCTTAGGAAAATTTAGAAAATACTGCAGCTGTTATGCAGACCATGCCAGGGAGAAGATATTCAACTTTTACCTCTAAACCAACCAAGAAAAGGGGTAGGTAAGTAAGAGTAAAGGCTTAGCAGGGATGCTAGAAGGCCAATGTACAAAAAACATGAACCTCTGAGTTGCAATCAAGTCTTTCCTATGCACTCTTGCCAGGTTCACCGCTCAAACTATGTCAAATGTTACAACTAACAGCAAGATTCCAGGGCAGCAGTAGTGCTCTTCAAAAGAGAGACACACCCTCGAGTTTACAAACTAGAGATACAAACCTTTATTTCACAACTTTGTCATAATTCACGTCTAATAAGACATGTACTGCGGACATAGTTTATAATACTTGGGAAAGCTAGATGCTGGGTGTCTTCCAGGCAGGAACAAAGATGTGGTCACTCCAGGGCTGACGCGTTCCTGGGGCTTCAGGCAGCATGGACCAGACGCACCAGTATCGTCTCACCCCAGTTTTACTTAGAGCCACCTCCTTTTTTGGGGCCGTTAGTCCTCATTTCATGCCAGATTTTCACTAGAGGCTCCCTGTTCTTCCAAATGAGTTCATGACCATAAGTAATATACCATCTGGGGAAAAGAAAAACAAACCAGGTCCGACATTCAAACAGTATGACATACAAATGCTAAGTACCACGATGATATCAAGTTGACATTTTAAAAATTGAATGCCACTGTCATTTACTATCTAGCTTACTAAAATAGCTGATTATTTAATGTAGATCATTGACTTACCCTTAATATACAGAATATGAAAAAGACGGAAGTAGGATGGGACCACGTGTGACTGCTCTGAAAAGAGTAAGCACTTCACACACACTACTTTTGATTCACCACAGCCCTACAAGTTAAGCATCCCTCTTCCCATCACAGACATGAGGAAACCAAGTCAGAGAGCAAGTCATTTGCCCGAGGTGCTAACAGCTCCTAAGTGGTCAATCAAGGACTCACCTGCAGGTCAAAGTGATTCTATACCTGGACTCTTTATTCCGTCAAGTGTAAGAAATGTCAGAATTAGAGTTTACTAATGATGGCTATAACAGTTTAAATGCTTCTCGTCATCTTCTGCCTGGCTACACAAAGGGTGGTCTGCTGATCCAAATTCCGCCCACCTTGTAAAATATAGTTCCAATCCCCATTCTCCTGTTAAAAACTGCCTAAAAGCAGCCGGAAGCAACGAGCCGAGGAAGCTGAAGCACTGAGAGGTTCGCTAACTTAACTTGCTCGGGCTGCACAACTGGGAATCACCAGAACTGAGACTAGAACCCAAATCTGACTCCGAAACCTATGCTCTAACCATTGTACTATTCTGCAGCATCCGGGAGCATGTACTACAAGATGAGGAACACACAGTGAGTGACGAACGAGAAGAGGCCCGCCTGCCTTTGAGAAGCCCACAGGCCCAGGTACTGCAAGCCCAGGCACTCTAGCCAAGGGCAGCAGAGGCTGCAAGTGTAACTCAGGGGCACCTAACTCCCCCGCTGGGCTGGGGGAAAGCTGGGAGGGCTTCCTGGAGGACATGGGGTTGACTTGGAATGGCTGTTAATGAAAGCTGCTATTGTTGAAACCTTTATTTTTGCCCTGATTTTCTCAAACAAATTTCACGTTCCCTGAGGCAGAGACTAGATTTTGTTGATCTCTGCATCTCCCAGACACCTGACTGAAAA